ACAGAATTTGTAGATATCCCTCGCCTTTCAAGCAATTCCCTTCTGCATCCTACTATTATATGTTGTATATAATTCTTCTTGGCTTTTTTCTGAGTAATAAATATTCTAGGAGGGTGCTAGAGGTATATAGCAAAATTTCACAGACAGCAAGAAGGCGTATACTGGATTTTCTACCTTGAGATTCAGTGGACTAATGCATAATTCTGTTGTTTTCTCTGAAAGTGTGGTTAGATTGTCTTTTCAATGTGATATAAAGCAGTTGGACTGAAAGTAAGAACATAAGCAATGAAAATGAATGTTGACAGTACAACAAGCTTTAAGAAAGAATTTGCATTAAATAAATAAGTAAAAATGTACTGTCTTAGTAATTCATAGAATAACTTGGTAAAGCTGACCAGTATTCTCTCTGTATTACATATGGATGGTTAAGAGGTAATGAGTTGACTAAGGATGCTCATTAGATGAGATGAGTTTGAAAACAGGGGTTTCCAGTTGATAATTCTTAGCCCTGGTGACACCGGAACTGTTGTAAAATTCATGGGGTAATGTGTAAGTCTTTGATCTGCACTTTGTTTATGATTTTGTCCAAATATGGATCCTTTGTTTTTTCTCCTTTTTTTCTCTTTCAACACACCAAAGAAACAAATGAAAAATGATTTTTTGTTGGAAACTAGGCAATAGAAAGGACTCACATTCAGGTGACATGATAAAAAAATCCACTGAGAAAAGCTTTGTGCTTTGTTTTTTAGTAATTGGGTGGCATGCACCATCACACTGAGTGTGTCCATTTAGCCAGAGTTTCTGTTGCATCTCTGGCTTAGTGTGTTGAGTTAATAAACCAACTCAGATTGTGATCTGTATGAACCAATATTTTCATTTGGGTTTGGATTATATATGCCATCTTCCTATGTGCAATAATGGAAGAATACCATAGAGTTCATAGAAAGAGAATCATAGAGTTGTGAAGGTGGAGGGACTTCAGGGATTATCAAGTCCAACCCCCCTGCCATGAAATCCAAGTATTGTGTCTTGTATCAGAACAAGATCTAAATATTAAGTCCCAAATGTAGATCTTACTAAATGCTGTGGGACTTGTTTTTAAGTAGGATTGCAATCTAGAAAAATCTACAGGAGAAGTTTCTTTGGAATTAGGTTTATCGCCAAGAGATTGTACATAGAACCATGTATGTTATTGCTGGCTTATTATTAATCTTCTGAATGTGTACTGTCTGATATCTGAAAAATTCCAAGTACGTAGTCATTAATGCCATTATTTTACTTAGTATATATAGTGAAACAGACAACTATTTGCCCACATTTATGAGCAGCTAGAAAAACCTGTCATGCAGAAGGCTTTGCAGACACTTTCTGTGTATTCCAGAAGCTAATTTCTTCACTGCAACACCAAATATATCAAATATATATCACATCAGGAAAATGGTTAATAGGCTATAGCCTATAAACTCTAATGAGCTATAAAAAGACATTGAAGAACAATTGTACAAACTTGTTGTGTAAAGGAAAGAATATTTCTGAATTTTCACCCATTTGCATTACTCAGTGGTCTTCTGATAGGCCAAAATGGCCCTGCTGTAAGATGAAGAGATTTGCTTCCAGTGGAAGGCTCATCTTTGGTTACAAACCTACTGTATATGTCAAAAGGTTATACTTCTAGGTTGTACAAAAATTCTGTTTTAGTGTTGAATTACCATGGATTTTATGTAACAACTCACCGGTTAGCAAGTAATTCTAAGTAGGCAGGTGAGTAAGATGGTATAATAATGTTAGATCTCTCTGTCCTGCAGGGGTTTCCATGTTGCTTGTGGATGAAGGGAAGCTGTCTCTTCTCCACCGATCTTGTAGAGAGAAACGTTTTTTTCTCTTTTACTTTTTATTTCCTTTCCCCCTTCCCTTTCTTTCTATCTTTCTTGTACAGTGGTGCCTCCACTTACGACCATAATCCATTTCAGAAGATGGACGTAAGTAGAAATGGTTGTAAGTCGAAGCACCATTTCCCATAGGAATGCATTGAACCCCCATTGAACTGTTCCAGCAAAAGGAAAAAAAATCACACACACATAAAAAACATCACTGCAGGACTCATTGGAAACACAATTAATCCCTTCTGGCTGAAGGGGAGGGAAAGAAAAGCAATCAAGCGTGCAAGATCCATTGCAAATGTATAGAAAACAAACAGCAGATTGGAAATGTACAGAGAACAGAGGGACAAGGTTGGAAATGCAAAGGAAAAAGCAAGGAAAGCATGCAGGACCCATTGCAAATGCACAGAAAACAAACGGAGCAGATTGGGAGTGCACAGAGAACAGAGGGACAAGGACAGAAATGCACTGAAAACAAAGGAAAAAGCAAGGGAAGCATGCAGGACCCATCAGAAATGGGGGAAACCCCCCAAAAGCAACCAACCCCCCCCAGACCCATCGGAAATGGGGGAGAACCCAACAGACAAACCCCCAAGACCCATCACAGCACAGAAACATAACCCCCCAGCCTAAAACTATGCTGCAAAAAGACCCAGAAGTTTTTAAAAAGCAAAAAACCACCTTACGTCCCTACAAACATACATACGCTCACTCCGAAGCAGAAGGAGGCAGTCCCAAGCCTCCGATGACGACACACACTCTCTAACTGCTGGGGTGAAAGAGCTACAAAGAAGCAGCCTTGTTGCCACCTACAGTTAGCAATTTGAATTTCCCACCTTTTTTCCCTGCCTTTTTGTGTTCGTAAGTGGAAGCTCCGGTCGCAAGTAGAAGCGAAATTTTGCGTCTGGAGCTGGTCATAAGTTGAATTGGTCATAAGTGGGGATGTTCGTAAGTGGAGGCACCACTGTATCTGATATTCTGTGTGTCCATGTTGATTACAGAGGTGTTGGTTTCCTGTTTCTTGTCACTGTCATAGAAATGTAGACAATTAACTTAATGCAGGTTACTAAGAAAAACTGCAGCCTTATAACTTCTGTGCCTTTATTTTAAAAGCTGACCTACCATATTTTAAATGTGGCAACCAATATTCTGTTTCTTGTCACTGTCATAGAAATGTAGGCAATTAACTTAATGCAGGTTACTCAGAAAAACTGCAGCCTTATAACTAAGCCTACCTTGCAGGATTTTGAGCAGAACTTCCGTGCCTTTATTTAAAAAGCTGACCTACCAGATTTTAAATGTGGCAACCAATGAATACAAATTGTATACAAAGTAAATGATACAATTTATTTTTTCCTTTAAATTAGTCCATCTTGTGTTTATATGTTGTTGTCAATTCTCTTAGATTGCTAAAATTAGCCTTCCGTATACATAAGAGCATACGTATGCTGGTTTTGCAGTAGATGGACAAAATTATTTGTATACAAGAACAGTGTTTTGTGAAGTAACTGGAAATTTAAGGTGTAGGATATTCCTTGCGTAATTGTGTCAGTGTATGTATTTTATATGCTGTGATGCATTTTTTTTCATAACATATCATCTGCTTTATGATGTAGACCAAAAAAGACTTAGGAGTTTTTGGAATGCTTTCAATACCAAATTCCCCAAAATTGCTTGGATGTGTGTACAAAACCTATATCATACAAGTGGTTGAAAAAACAATGTACGTTACCTGATAATTAAAACTGTCACCAGCTCTTTAACTAATAGAAGCCTGTTCTCACTCACATGAGCCTTGACCTATAATGATAATGATTAAATGAAACCATATTTCACAGTCTCACTCACATGAGCCTTGACCTATAATGATAATGATAATGATTAAATGAAACCACATTTCACAATATGGCCTGATTTGGTAACATGTCAGGTTACCTTTCTTGCATAATGTGTAATCATTCACTTTTAGAATTTGTGCAATAATGCTGTTGCAACCTTGACAAATTGCTTCATCAGAAAGTTACTGTGTTTTATTTTCTTGACAAATTAGTATACTTTGAGTTTATTATGTATTACTCAAGCGCAGTTTAGAATCCCTACCTAAAGTCTTATTCGTTATCCTTACTGGCGTAACACAATCCAATAAATCTCATCAGCAAAGTGTTGCAAATTAAAATGTTAGAGTAGCCTTTTGCGGTTGTGTGCTTATTCATGTGAATCAACCTGCACTGCCTGTGCTGGCCTCTTAATATTGAATTATGTGAGGGTAAAAAAAAAAAAGTTCAGCCCAATGATTGTAACACAGGACTACACTGATGCCTTGATAAACAAAAATATTTTTTAATTACATAGTTCTTTATACTTTCTGATATGGTGGAAAAGCTGGTTTGAATTGAAACATCTGTTCCATGTGGAACTTTGATTGGGGCAGATTGTAGATTGGATTTAATGAACAACATTTTTCTATATATTGAAATAGTTTGTATTTGTAAGGTTCAGTTTTCTTTTCTTTTTTGGTTTGGTATTATGCTTCAGTATATATACTTTGCATCTCTCTCTCTCTCTCTCTCATATATATATGAGATATGTTTGTAAATTCCAAAAAGATTAAATCTTGGAAAAGAAAATTTTAGAGGATCCTTATCAGCAATGACTCTGTTTGTTCTGTACATACAGCTGTATATTGTAGTTTTTTGCTCATTTTAACATATTGCATGTAGTTTATCACTTTCGTGTAAGATAAAGGATATGTTGAGGTCCATTTAATAAGCTACACTAGTGTGGTTTAATTGTACATTGTAATACCAAACATTAGCATAACAACAAGTGCATAGTTCATCTCTGCTCACATTTACTGTCCCATCACTCACCTCTGTGGCAGTTTTTTGATGGCACAAATTAGAAGTAATGCTTGTGGCAAACACCTTAAGCGACAGTTCTACATTCTAGCTATGTGATGCAGGTTCATTATATGCAGGATTGTTCTGAAGTAATTTGGATGGAGTTCAGTGGAACATGCATCTTTGTAAGTACACATGGGACCATAGCGTTAAGATTCAGAGCAACTGTTATACCGTTAAAGTGAAACACTACTAATATTTTTACCTTTTTCCTTCAAAGGTACTCCTGGTATTAAAATCCTTATGCCTGCACTGTCGCCTACAATGGAAGAAGGGAATATCGTGAAATGGTTGAAGAAGGAAGGTGAATCTGAATTTTTTTAGATATCACTGAGCCTGAAGAGTTTTTTGTTCATATGCCCCTCTTTCAGTAAAAAAAAAGATTGATGCCTGCTGCTTAGAATGTTCATGTGCTTGCGGTTACAGAATCAGCCTTGTAGACCGAGGGTGGTCAGTTTGTGCCCAGAGCTGGTGGTGAAGGCTTCTGGGACTTGCAGTCCAAGAACAGCTGGGTTACCCAGAGTTGGGAACAGCTGCTGTAGATGTTATTTGTACTCCCATTTCTAGGCCAAGGCTAATGGAAAGTTGCAGTTCAGCAACATCCAGAGAGACTGAAGTTGCCCTTCATTGCTCTAGAATGTTGCTTTGTGATCACTCATGATTTATTTTGAGCTACTGTATAACATAGGGATGTGGTGGCGCTGTGGGTTAAACTGCAGAAGCCTCTGTGCTGCAAGGTCAGAAGACCAGCAGTCATAAGATCGAATCCACATGGTGGAGTGAGCTCCTGTCACTTGTCCCATCTCCTGCCAACCTAGCAGTTCGAAAGCATGTAAAAATGCAAGTAGATAAATAGGTACGAACTCGGTGGGAAGGTAACGACATTTTGTATCTAGTCGCGCTGGTCACGTGACCATGGAAACTGTCTTTGGACAAACGCTGGCTCTGTGGCTCGGAAACAGGGATGAGCACCGCGCCCTAGAGTCAGACACGACTGTACTAAATGTCAAGGGGAACCTTTACCTTACTGTTGTTTTGATTTATGGTTGTGGTGTAAGTCAAGGTGACTTTAAACTGTAAAACGTTTTTCCATTTGTCCCTAAGATTTTTTTGTAAGAAGTATACGCGGTGATTATTAACTTCAAAACTTGCTGGCTTTCATACTTTGGATGGACGTCTTAAGTCACAGAGGCCTTAATCTGTGAAAATCATACATGTGCTTTATACTGCTCCTGGTCCATCAGGTCTTTTTTTGGGATGAGGCTCAAGACTTTTTGAATATGTCTTTGTTCTGCTTATTAGATGTGCCAGCCAGTATTTCAGGCTGGCAGTATTAATAATTCAAAAACATCTCTTTAAAGACTTTTTGAAAAGTTATGTCCGTTTTGTACTTCTGTCTCTAAATTAGGATGGCCTTGGTGCTTCTTTTTTAATTTTTCCAAATGGTCTTTTGTAAAATGATACTTTGGATTATAATTCATTATCTCCTGGTCTTCAGATTCTTGTCATCTAAAAAAAGATGCTCTATGGTAAAGCCTATTATCATATTTTGAAATAATAGCATTGATTAAAAGGAGCTTGAATAAGAAATAAAATTATAGTTTGAACATTGCATTAGAATGTTTATTAAAAATAAAGGTGGCAACAAATTTTGCAACTTTTATTTGAAAAACCTCATCTTGTTCATTGCTAATTCACTACAGATACTGATATGAATGCTTTCTCATGCACCTCATCATAATTTATTGTAACTGGAGCCTGATATTAACACCAACTTTATAAAAGGCTGTTGTTTCTTTTTGTGGTTCCAAGTTTAAGTTCTGAGAGTATGGAAATTGCTTTATCATCTTTTGAAATGTTGCGGAATGAAGAAGCAGATGGTTTTTTTGTTGCTGTAGTCTAGAACAGAGGTCTCCAACCCCCGCTCTGTGGCCCGGTGCTGGTCTGTGGCCCGGTGCTGGACTATGCCGTGGAGACAGACCTCCCACCACCCTCGCATGCACTCCCCCCAGCCCCTTTCTGTCTGTGTGCCAGTGACTGCACGATCGCTCCCCCACACTTTTGTGCATGTGCATGACCACAGTGCCACCGTTTGTGCATTCGCACGAGCACCCGTGCAAGCACCCTCCTGATCCTTCACGCATGTGCCTGTGCAAGAGTGGGCACGTGCATATGCATGAGTATGAGGGGGTGCCCCGCCTTCCCCAGCTGGTCCACGGGGTTAAAAAGGTTGGGGACCCCTGGTCTAGAACAGACTTGCTTTCTCACCTTCTGGTTAATATCTATTTTTAATTCTTTTAAAAAATTTAAATGGCTTTAAATCTGTGGTGTAAAAACCTGCTAACTGCTGGTATGTAAGAAGAGTTTGTACTGTGGGGTCTTGACTTAAGAATGGCTCGAGTTAAGAACATTTTGACTTAAGAACCACTCTCATAGGAAAATATTGACTTGACTTACATAGATTTGAGTTAAGAACTGAAAAAAACCCACGTGGGAGGCAGGGAAAGTGCAAAATTTGAACTTTCAGCTAACTGTTGGCCAGTGAAAAGGGTGCCTGTCTGCTTCCTCACTCCTCCCAGCGTTTAGAGAGTGGATTGGGAGTCTTCAGACTGCCTGGTACTGCCTGGACTGTATTTTCCCTGCCTTCCCTGAACCTTTCTTGACCTAAGAAATAAAGAAACAAAATATCCGCCTCTAGTGGTCGAAGGCAGAATAGTAGCTTCCCATTAGTTTCTATGGACAGAAAAGAGCAGATACGGATCAAATGGTTCTCAATGCATTCCTATGGGAAATGCAGATTTGACCTGAGAACCTTTTGACTTGAGAACCACCATCCAATACGGATTAAGTTCTCAAGTCAAGACCCCACTGTATTTCTTATTTAAGATTATCTAGTCTGTAGTCCAGAAAGATGTTAGGACTTCAATATCCTAAACAATATTCATGATGATATATGAAGCTGCCATCCCATCCTAGAATAACAAATTACCCAAAATAAATAATCTCAGAATGTTTTTTGATTCCTCCAATTCCTAAAGAATTATAGTGCTGTCTTATTCCTAATAAAATAACAATCTAAAAGGAAAAATGGATTTGTGTGGGAGGAGCTTCAGTAAATACCATGTTTTGCTACTCCTGTCCTTTGAAGATGCCAGCCACAGAGACTGGCGAAATGTTAGGAAGGACCTTCAGAACACGGCCAAAAAGCCCAAAAAGCCCCCAACAATCATCAAATACCACATTATTTTTTACTTTCCAATAAAGTAAAAAAAATACTCTTTACAAGTTTTTTTGTAAAGACCCAAGAATTTATTTAAAAGAAGTTTGCATGTGACATTTTTTTCTTTGCCAAGATATTCATATATTCTGTCATGACCTCTTTAGACTCCATTTTTGTTTTCGCATTAATGTAATAAAGAAAGTAAAAAAGACAAAAAATTATGTGTCATTTTAGTGGCATGTCTATTGCACTTTGCTCCCATGATTGTTGGCAGGCATCCAGCCAGGCTTTAAATTGATGAAGGAGTCTAGGATTATAAATCTGTTACCATGTGTATATATGATATTAAATTCAGAAGAAAATGCTAGTTAATAAGGATGGTATTGAATGTAACAACCTTCTGCTGTGGACATGTTTTCATTTTTTCTGTATCTTGAAGAATGACTTCTCTTTACCATGGGGATGCATGTATGACTCTCCTTCCACTTTGTATTAGGCAATAAGAGGCTGGCTAGCATTTCTGTACATGTTAACTTATATATTATTAAAATATTGGATTATTTTCTTGATGCTCTTGAGATAAATTGATGAAAAATGTTGAACTATCTTCCCATTATATAGGAGAAACTGTAAATGTTGGTGACGCATTATGTGAAATTGAAACGGATAAAGCAGTGGTTACTATGGAATCAAGTGATGATGGCATATTTGCTAAAATAATGGTAAGAAGAACCTTTTTAGCCACTATAATGGACTTTTGCATATAAGCTTGCTAGCCAATGCACTCTTCTGAATTTTTTGTCATGATTTTAAATTTTTTTTACACATATACAACTCATATTATGTACCGTGAAAGCACTGAATGACCACTGTTGAACTGAATAGATTTCTGAGAGGAAAAATTCCCTGATTCCCCTTTAATTCCGGGTAATATACAGTATTACCAAATTATTTTCCTATGACATCTAAATTGAGTACTGTTTTACTTTTAAAGAATAAAGTTGTTCATGTTTTTAGAATCAACTGACAACACAGGGGAAGATTAATACATATAGAAATAAGCAAACAAGTAGCTACAGATCAATCAGATGAACGAACAGTATGTACTAGCTTCATATGTGCATCTGCAGACCCACATTCTGGAACTTAATATGTATGGAAATGAATCACAACTAGAAAAAACTTTTAAATAGCTATTGTAGTTATGATTATGAATAAGCTCATTTCATAATGGAAGCACTATTTAATCTCAGTGAGGGCATCTGCTGAAATGAACACAAAAGGTGATTTACCCAAGGAAGGCTGATGGGACAGGGTTGTAATTAAGCATGCATATTGGAGAAGATAATAGAGTAGAGGCAAAGAAGGAGACCGGTCTGTGTTGAATACTGTCTAAAGCTGTATTCAAATACAGTGGTGCCTCACATAACAATGTTAATTGGTTCCAAAAAAATCAACGTTGTGTGAAACATCGTTCTGTGAAACACCTCCCTTTTCGCTCCTGTAAAAGTGTCTTACAATGTTTGGAAGCTGTTTTAAATGATTGCAATGGTTAGTCCACCTCCTGAAACCTATGCAAACTGATTTTGGTGTTGTTCTGACACTTCGTTAATTTATGATAATTTTTTGTTTTTTCCATTGGAAACCATTGTGACAACCCCAGACCTACCGGGATATGCCACAGTTTCACTAAGCTGCCACCAACCATTCCCTATAAGAAGTCACACAGACCAGGGATGGATTTTTAACTAACAAAGGAATAAGGTTTATTTAAATAACACACAGGGAAAATAAAATGATCAAGTGAATAAGATACAGTAACGTGGCTTAGTCTCAAACATACATACACCAGTTTGGTTCACACAGAACACCTTTAAA